GGGGACGGCTCCCTGCCCGCGGCCCCTCGGCCCGGCCTCCGCTGCCTGTGTCCCGCTGTGGGGCAGGCCGTGGGGCCCACGCTCTTCTAGAAGCTTCCCCGACAGACCCGGTCTCTGTCTGCAGGAGCCTGCTGATGGAGCGAGACGCCTTGAAGCCCAACTCGCCCCTGACGGAGCGTCTCCTCCGCAAGGCGGCCGCCGTCCACCTCCTGCAGTGAGCCCGCCCCGGGGGCCCGAGGGGTCGGAGGCAGCCTGGAAGTCCGCCTGGCTTTCCGCGGCAGGCCCTGCGGCCAGCGGCCGTGCAGGAAGAGGCAGATGAATTTGAACTGTGGCTCGGACTCTTCTTTCGTCCTCTGAGGGCAGGTGCAGGCTGGCGGGCAGGGCCCAGCTGTGGGGGCGGCTTCCACGCGGCCCCGCCAGGCTGCTGCGGTGGAGTGGAGGGGGCTTGCTCCGCCACGCTGAGCCGCACATGGTGGTCCCCCTTGGGGACAGGGCCTCCCTGTCCGCTGGCTTTAAGGGTGGGGCAGGGGCGCCCCCTGGTGACCTCGGGGCTTGTGGCAAAACCCAAAGCTGGTGCCTGTGTGTCGGTGACAAGACTGCCCCGCGCCGCCTCCCCGTCCCGCTTCCTGCGCCCCGAGGGCCGCGCAGCTCCTGGGCCGCACCCCGGCCAACGGACGCAGCTGGACATCCCTGCGTGCTGGGCCTGGGCTGGCGCCTTCGACACCTTGATGTGGGCGTGGGCTTGGGCTGGGAGTCGAGACCGGGGGGGGGGGGGGGGTCCCAGGAGGATTGTGAGAGCCGTGCCACCCCTGACTGCCCGGCCCTCCTCTGGGCCCCCCGACTACCCTTGCACCTCCCCAGGCGGTGGTGTCCAGCTCAGGCCTGCACTGGGCAGCTGAGGGCCGCAGGCACAGCACTGAAAATGAAGCCGGTGGCTGTGGGTGGGGTGGCGGCCGGGGGAGAACGGGAGACAAGCCCCTGTGGACCACCCCCCCGGGGAGCTGGGACTCGGGGACCCCACACACCCACTGGGCTGGGGGACCTGGGCCCTCGCCTGACGCAGTAACCCCTGGGGCAGTGAGTCCTTGGCGCCAGCGGGAAGCACCAGCCCTGGGCTGTTCCCGGAGACAGTGGGGGAGGAGGGCGCTGGAGCTCCTGGGCTGGGCCTGACAGCCAGCCCGCCTGAGGCGGGGAGCATAGCCCCCACCCCCTTCCCCTTCCAGGCCGAGGCCCCGATGGACGCTTCAAGCCAGTGGCCTCATCTTTCTAGAGCCGGGTCTTCTGTGACCTGCGCCTGCCCCCAGCCCCCCTCCGCCCACGCAGGATGACTTGCTGCACCAGGCGGGCTCCCGGGCCTGGCCACTGACCTCCGCCTCTAGGCTCACCCCTCCCGTCTGCCTGACCCCATTTGTCCTCGGGACAAACCAGGTCCCCCTCAGCCCTCTCCCCAGGACAGGCCCCTGCCACAGGCCTCCAGCCACACTCAGGCGGTTCCCTGGAGACCCGCGTGGGGGGAGGGGTGTCGGGGGGTGGGGAGCAGAATACAAATCCCCTCACCCCAGCCCTGGAGGAAGGGGGCTGCCACCACGGGGGTTAGAGCAGCCACGGGCTCCCGCCAGGGGGTGGCGTCAGGCAAGCGGTGCCAGCTGCCACAGCCCGGGCCACCCGCGGGCTCGCGCAGGGCAGTGTCCACCCAGTAGTGCCTGTGCCCACTGCACTGCTCACAAAGCAGGGACACGCACCTGGTCTGGCCTTCCCACCCCCCTCTCCGATAGGAGCTTAGCTTTTCGTATTTGCAGATGGCCATCAGGACACACTGACCCTGGGCGGGGGCTTGGGGCGCCGTGTTGAAGGGACCTGGCACCCCGGTGCACGCAGCGCGCGCCCACTGCCGGCCTGGGACCCACCTCGGCCGAGACCGCTTCCGCGCGGCGGCAGTGCGCACGCGCGCCGCCTCCTGCGCGCGCTCAAACTACAACCCCCAGAGTGCATCGGGAGCCGGTCTCGCGAGTTCCCTCGAAACCGGCCAATCGGCGGTCGGCACCGCCGCTCGCACTACAGCCCCCAGCATGCACCGGCGGCCCGTCTCGCCGCGAGCCCGCTTCAAACGCGCCAATCGGCAGCCCGCGGCGCGTTTAAATCCGCCGAGTTGGTGCCTCCGGGCTTCGGCCGCCGAGGTGAGGGCCAGGGCCGGG